CATTCAGAGCTATACCCCATTTTTCTAATCAGATCATGTGTTTTATGTGACTCTTATTTTCTGAGTTTTTTATGTATTCTGCATATCAATCCTCTATAGCTGGCAAATATTCTCTCCCACTCTGGGTGCTTCTTCCTCATTTAGTTAGTTATTATTGCCTTTACTATACCAAATAATTTTTTAGTTTTATGAAGTCCCATGGGTCCTATCTCGATTGTTTTATCTGAGATGAGAAGAACTTCTCACTGTGAGTAATGCCATTTCCTGGCAGGAATCCTGTACTGTATAAATGGAGAGGCAATTGAGCATCAATAAGCGTTCATTCCACTCTGTTTCTTCATCAAGGATGGAATGTTACCATTTGTTTCAAGCTCTTGTTTCCTTGATTTCCCTCCTACGAAGTACTATACCTTGAACTGTAAGTTAAAATAAACTATTCCTTGCTGGATGTTGGTGGTGCATGCCTTTAATCCCAGCACTCAGGAGACAGAGGCAGGCAGACATCTGTGGGTTTGAGACCAGCCTGGTCTATGAGAGCTAGTTCCAGGACAGCTAGAGTTGTTACACAGAGAAATACTGTCTTGAAAATAAACAGATAGATAGATAGATAGATAGATAGATAGATAGACCCTTCCTTCATTTTTTTTGTTACAGTGTTTTCAGAAATAAATAGAAATATCCCAAATACCATTAACACATGAACAAATAAAGAAAATGTAGTATAAATATACAATAAAACATTCACTTATAAAAGGGATAAAATATATTATTTAAAATGTGAATCAATTTTTAAAACACTATGTAAAGCAAGATAATAATTCAGATCAAAAGTTTGTGTATTTAATAATTTATTTTATATGAAATACAAAGACTATATTAAACCACAGAGACAGAAAGTGGAAATGAATTATTGTTAGGGACTGAAAAGAGAGAACTGTGAATGTGCCTACTTGACATAGGGGCTGTTTAGGGCCTAATGAAAGTATTGCATAATGGTAGAAGTTAGGGTTGCACAATTTTTTGAATATACTATATACTACTGAATTCCACATTTTATAATTGTTAATTTGATATTATATCTATTTTCCTTACAAAGAACAATAAAGATAACTGGTTTTAGAAGTAATGTGTGTACTTACCCGTTCTCTAGACCAGTGACTTTCATCGTTTTATATATTATATACACCTTTGAATATTTCAAGTTTTATTTCTATTTTGTTTGTTATGAGAGAGAGAGAGAGAGAGAGAGAGAGAGAGGTAGGGAGAGAGAGAGAGAGAAGATTGGGATGAATTTGGATGTGCTTGTGCCATGGCAGAGGTCAGAGGAGAGATTTAAGGAGTCTGTCTTCATCCACATGACTGAGGCAAGTCTTCTTTTGTTGTTTCTGCCATGCAGTGTGCTCAAGGCTAGTTGTCCCACAGACTTCTGGGCAATTCTCCTGTCTCTGACTCTAAACTAGTCTTAGGAGTTCTTGTTTTGTTGTTTTGTTTTGTTTTGTCTTGTTTTTAAGCTTACCCCAGTGTGAGTGATATCTAGAGTTCCTTGACCTACTTGCACTAGTTCTCTCACCAGACTTTTCAGTATGGGTTGGCTCTCTCTCTTTTTTTAAATTTCATGCGCATTAATGTTTTGTTTTCATGTTTGTAAGGGTGTCAGATCCCATGGAACTGGAGTTACAGACAGCTGTGAGCTGCCATGTGGGTGCTGGGAATTAAACCCAGGTCCTCTGGGAGAGCAGTCAGTGCTCTTAACCACTGAGCCATCTCTCCAGACTTACATCTAGGTTTTTTACATGGGTTCTGGAATTAAACTGAAGTCAAACTAGGGTTATCAAGTTTGTACAACAGGTGGTTTTACCCACAAAGTCATCTCAGCCTATTAAATAATAACCAACAGAGTCTATTCTCATCAAATGTATCCATCAAATAAAAGCTATATATCTTATGCTTATGTATATAATTTTGAATGTAGTTTTAAGGGCTTCATAGTTTGAAAAATGCCTGAACTCAAGGAATAAATGAGCGTTCTGTATCTCCTCTCCCCAGTAGCGTTCATGCACAGTGTCTTCTCTTTTCTCAAACTCTTAGTTCCTGCTTCCTCATTATGTCAACCTGCTTACATATCCTCATTATCTTTAGAATCCTATGGCACAGATCTTCCTACAAAAGTGAATACAATTCCACTAAGTCCTACACATTTGCACCTTGTATACTATCTTGGGTGGTCAGTTTGGAACATGTGGCCTAGGTCAACCTGTATGGTCAGGATGTCAAATACCAAGTCAGAAAGTACCAGAATATGAGTATAGACTGTAGTCAGAAACCCTGCAGGATGGCTAGGCACTTTTCAGGTACCTTGGCGGTGAAGATAACAGAGTTGAGAGACCTTACAAGCTATCCCTTCCTAGTTAGTAAAGTGGAAGGGAGAAGGCAGCATGTAGGGACGCTTTTACCCAAGCATTGTGAATAACCACAGGAAGAAGACAGGTCTGAGGGCTCTCTCCCTGCAGCAATTCATTCTCTAGGCTTCATGGTAACCCTGAGCTGCAGGAGGGGGATCTGTTCTTCCTCTCTTCTCTGCTGGGGCTGACTTATCCTGGTGGGAATTCAGAGGAAATGGATCAAAGGCATTTATTAAATTGGCCACCTGTGTCAACTACTCCATAGTTTATTTATTTAGTTAGTTTTTGAAGTTACCAACACATTCAAGTGCCCGGATGCAGGAAAAAAGAGGAGAAGCTGTGAAACATGGGCAGGGAGAGGGAAGCGATACCTTCCTTGTCTCTTCACAAGGAATGGATGAGACAAACTTTCTGCAAGTCCCATAACCTGGAATACCTGGGTTCCATAGTTCTTTCTTTTCCCCAAGTTGAATGAAATAACCACGTTCCAATTTTCAAAATTGGCATTGTGTCAATCATTAGATATTTCCTATCGTTTACCAATTGTTTGGGAACAGAAGGTAAATATTTCTGAAAAACAATACACAACAGTACCAGCTCCCCATGAAAAGAAGTTACAGGAATTTTATCTGTAGCCAATTCCATTCAGTTACAAACAGGTCTTCTGAGTAGAAAAGTTGAAAACCTATTTTCCCCTCTATCTCAAACATTTTATTTTAAATGAAATAGTTTTGTGCCTATGAGAATAACTCGTGTTCAGCAGAGTAAGTGAAATTAAAAAAAAAACTATTAAAAAAAGAATATCTCTGTTCGACAACTGGCTTCTCTTCCAAAGGATCCACCCTGTGCCCTTTATGTGCAGGTACAAAGAAGACTGCGTGCAGAACGAACATCGGTGACTGAGAAAGGAAGTGGATTCAAGGAGTGCATGATTTGGGATTTTAAAAAAGCGGTCCCCCAAATCCTCTGAGATCTTAGGGGGCGGCATTGGTAGGAGAGGATGCAGCATCTCTCTAATAACCACACAGGACTAAACACATGCCACTGGACGAACCATATTTGGCCCCTGGGATTTGCAAGTAACAGAATGAATGACAAGGCCTCATGCTGTGGGGGAAGGGACAGAAGGTGGTGGGGGTAGCTAGGGGGAAAGTAGGCTGGCTCCTGACGCACTTTCTGATGCTGGGGAGGGGAACTAGGGACCGGAGCCCACTGGTGACGTTTTGTCACGTGATCAGGAGCAGCCTTCTGCAGAAGTCCCTCTCTCCCAGGTACCAGCAGCCGCCAGATCCTTATCTCCGTGGAGGAAGGCAGGCTTGAAACTGAGCAACAGAGGGGGGGCAGCTGCCCTATAGCCCGGCAGGTTGGTAAAAGCCAGGGATTTCTGAGGGAGGGGTGGTAATGGACAGCGGCTACAGAGCAGAGAATTTTGTCTGCGTTTAAGATACCGCCCCCTTTCCAAACCCATTCATTGTGACGCAGAATATTGTGTCTGTTGGGGGTAGCAGCTCTTATATCCTTGGAGAAACGTGGGCTAATGGCAGAAGGAGTCATTTCCCTGGATAGCTCCCAATCCTTCAGTGCCTGCAGACGCTGGGTAGGCATGACAGGAGGCTAAGACCAGAAAGGATTACAGGTGCAGGAAATGGATGGGGACGGGGACAGGGTCATTGGAGGGAGATCGGAGGTATAGAATGCCAATCGGAACAGTGATTGAGTGACAAATGTCTTTTTAGAGGAGGAGGGCGGGGGAGGCGACAGCAAGGGAGTGGGGGTGGTGATGGCCTAATCCCTTTTAGGTAGTAGAGGAGGGGCACAGGCCTGACTCCAGGCTGAGGAAGATGACTACCCCAGGCCAAGGCTTGAATTCTCCCTTTCTCTTTCTTCTCCATCCCTCAACCATTTTGGAGCCCAAAATGGAAGGCCAAGGGGACCAAGGGTGGGGGTTGCTACGTAGAAGGAAAACAGAGGTTTGGGATGATGCTCAGTTCCCAGGTAGGGGGTGATTTCTTAATAGGAAGGGTTCAAAGGAGATATCGCAGACCCAAATGTTAGAAATTAGAAATAATTTTTCCTTTTCATTGTAGAAAGCTGTTTTTTCTGGGTCTGTGAGGAGGAAGGCGTGAGTGAAGTGCTGTGGTTACGTCTGCCCTGCCCCCTCCTCCTTCTAATAGCTACGTTTTCAGAAAAGTATCGCGCTACGCTTTAGCAAGGGCCCCCGGGGAGGGGGCGGGGGCGGGGCCAGGGGACTGGTCCAGAGAGACCTGAGTGAAGCGGCACCTATCAGCCCAGCTTTCTGCCTTTCACAGGCCTGCCTGTCACTCATTTCAGTGAAATCACTGAGAGTAGGTTTGGAAAGGAAATTCAGACTCCGAGAAACGTTTTGGAAGTCATTTTTTTCAGTTCCATAGCTCGGGACAAGTAAACGGGAAACTGTTAAAGGAAAAGGTGTGGAAGAAAATGCGAGAACACCGAGAAATGGTGATGGGGTGGGAGGGAGGAATTGGGAACGTTTTGACAAAGACTCCTCGTACTACTTGCCAGTCATTCAGATTTCTAATCCTGCATTCACCACCTGATTCTTATCTCTTCCCACAGGTCTTCAGGTCTGTGGTCGTGGGCACCGATCAAGCTAAGAAAAGGAAAGGCCTGCAGTATCAGTGCAGGTTAGTGGGAGAAGGAATGCATTCTGCCACCCCCAGAAGTAGAGTGAAAGCTGAGGGGGGGGGCACTGCTTGCCTCCCTCCTGTCTTCAACTCTCTTTATTGCAAGTTCCAGACACATGGCGAGACCCTAAGAGAATGCGATCTTTTATCGCTGGTGAGGCTAAAGAGGAGGCTTTGAAAGTGAGGAGAAAGAATGTTCTCTGAGGGTATCAGAACACCCCTGAAATCTATGTACACTTTTTTTTATACGTGAGAGGGTGAGCAAAGAGAGAGAGAGAGAGAGAGAGAGAGAGAGAGAATGTCCTGCACGATTCCTGCAGTTCTTTGTAAGTTGAAACTACACAGCTAGCGTCTCTGTGGGCAGCGAGAAAACGAAGTTCAGAAACCACTATTCTCTGCAGTTCCTTCTTAGCACATCGCTTTAAGAGCTTTAACGGTAGGGAGAAACACCCTTGGAATTTCCTGCCAAGTTGGTTCATGTGTATATGTAAGAAGTGTGTAGGGAAAGGAAAAAGAACAATACGGGTAAAAGTCCACCTGAAAGGTGGATTAGGATGGGTTGGCAGAGCTATGAATCAAGGAAAGCAACTGTTAAAAGCTTGTGCCCAGCTGGAGTGCCCTTAGTGTTTTTTCTTTGTCTTCTAGGACAAGCGGCAAAGGAAAATCGCAACATGGAAAAGTTCTTCAAAGAAATCGAAGGAAAGCCAGAAAACAAGGGAAGGGCAGAAGATGAAGGAAATCCAGAAGAAGGAGGAAACGCAGACAGAGACAAGTCCGATGCAGACGGGAAGCCTGCACGCCAGGGGAAGCTAGAGGAGGGAGGGCCAGGTGAGCAGGGACAACAGAAAAGTGAGGGGAAGCCAGAAAATCAGGGAAAGTCTGAAGGGGAGGGCAAGCGCCAAGGAGAGGGCAAGCCAGCCAGTGAGGCGCGGGCTGCTGAAAAGCGCCCTGCTGAAGATTACGTGCCGCGGAAAGCCAAGCGAAAAACAGAGGATTCTCCCAAGAACTCCCAGGAGGACTTCCAGGACAGGCATGTCAGCAGTGAGGAGATGATGAGAGAGTCTGCAGATGTGACCAGGGCGCAGGAAGAGCTGAGGAAGAGGCAGAGAATGGGAGGTTTTCCCTGGTTGCCAAGAGATTCTGCACAGGATGCTCTAGTTCCCAGGGGCCAACGCGGAGTCAGGGGAGTGAGGGGCGGAGGAGGCAGGGGCCAGAAGGACTTGGACGACGCTCCCTTTGTTTAATGCCTTTGGCCTTTCCTTCTGATTTCTCTGATGGGAAATATTGCCAGCCCTGCTTTCCCTGGCAGGCATTTGCCAGGCTCTGTGCTTCAACCCTGTGCTGATATTTTCCTTTAGGTGTCACTCTTGTTACCAGCAGACAGCACTATGTCTTTTAGTAATGGACTTTCACCCATGTGCATGGAAGAAGTGTTCATGGTGTACTGTAAAATAATAAAGATAGCAGTGTGCAGAACCATAGATACAGTATCAGTCCATTTTTGAAAACAAAATCATCACATAGAATATTTACATACAAGGAAAACTGTGCAAGTACATAGACCCAAGAGAAATAGTGGCTGTCTCTGTGTGGTGGGACTTGAGATTTTTCATTTTCTCATATGACCCCCATCCCCATTAAGGACAGAGGTTAATTTTATCATAAAAGAAGCACTAAAAGATAACGCAGAGCACTGGGTACTGTGGCACACTCCTTTCGACCTAGGACTCTAGATGAAGAGGTAGGCAGATCTCTGACTTAGTGGCCAACCTTGTCTTTATGGACAGCCAACTGAGGCCAGCCAGGACCACCAAGTGAGAGCCTATCTCATACGAGGCTATCAAAATAACTATTAAACCTGTGAAGGCAAAGGAGATGCTTCAAATTCTTGTCAGAATCATAATCACAGGTAAAACTACACAACCTCTAGACTTCAAGTTGGAGGAATTTTTGCAGTTCCTGCCAGTGATGCTGCTTCCTTGACATATATGAAATGGGGTGAGGCTTACATCATAAATCTATGGAGTAAACCAAATTTGGCAATGAGAACTGATTGTGTGCGTGAGCAGCACCAGATCAGACACTTGAGGGACAACTGGAGGAAGCCTCAGCTCTGCTCGGGAAAAGATGCAGGGAGCTGAGATGTGGGTAATACCTTCTCTTGGGCAAATGTTAAATCCACTGGGCATTGGGCCTTCTCCCTCATGGATCCTGCATCCCCTTGAGACATCCACATCCACTGGTATTAGTAAGCTGAAGTCCTTGAGGTAACAATGCCCCTTTTCTTTTCCAGAAGGCCCTGTTAGGCTTTCCATTCTGATGTGTTTACAATGAGCCTTTTCACACCTTAATAGATACCACTCATAAAAAGAGATGTGGAAAAATGCTTTCTAAATTTTTAACTAAAAATTACATCCACTAGATTTACCTTCCTTTATCATTCACTCATTTGTTTTACTTTGCGACAGGGTCTCATGTTAGTCTCGGCTGACTTGGAACCTCACTATGTATACAAGGAACGCTTCTTTTTGTAAATCCTGTTTCCATATCCCGAGTGCCTGAATTATAGGCATGCACCACCAAATCAGGTTTATGAAGAACCAATGATCAAATTTGGGGCTTTGTGCACGCTAGATAAACATTCTAACAACCGAGCAATATCCTCATTTCTCAGACTTGCCCTTTATAAAGCCAAGAACTTACCTTACTCATTGCTTCCCACAACACCTAATAGAAACTTACAAAACAAACACATCACCCATCAAGTCAGAAGACCTCAGTTTTTGTCCATTTCTGCTCCTGATTGTATGTGTAGTCTTAAATATGTAGGCTAAATACTTTTTTATTGTTGCTTTTGTTGAAACAATCATCTCATGTATACATGACTGGACTATACCTGGCTATGTATCTGTGGCCGGCCTTAGATTCCTGACCTCCCTGCCCCTACCTCCCAACTGCTTGGAATTATAGGCATTAGTTATAACACTTGTCTCATGTAAATTTATTCTTATGCAACTGAAATTTGCCATTTCAAAGAAATGTGGCAGGGGGAAATTATTGTACAATTATTTCCCAAATGGTTTTAACATAGATATAAATAGTTTGCAAAATTTGAGAGTTATTGGTAGAATAACTTCATGGAAGTCCTATCTGTCTTGCAGAAAATATAGAATCCTGGCTTCCACATCAAACCTAAGTCATCAGAATCTCTTCTGATTTGATATTTCTTCTACTTTTAGTTCACTTTAAAGAACTTTATTTAACCGGGCTGTGGTGGCACATGCCTTTAATCCCAGCACTTGGGAGGCAGAGGCTGGCAGATCTCTGTGAGTTTGAGGCCAGCCTGGTCTACAGAGTGAGTTCTAGGACAGCCAGGGACACACGGAAAAATCCTGTCTCAAGAAGAAAATAACAGGGGGCTGGAGAGATGGTTCAGAGGATAAGAGCACTGGCTGCTCTTCCAGAGGTCCTGAGTTCAATTCCCAGCAACCACATGGTGGCTCACAACCATCTGTACTGAGATCTGGCACCCTCCTCTGGCGTGCGGGCAGAATGTTGTATACATAATAAATAAATAAATCTTTTAAAAAAAGAAGAAAATAACAAAAAAAGGGAAGAAAGAACTTTATTCAATTCATTCACTTGTGGAAGGTGTGTGTGTGTGTGTGTGTGTCTGTGTGTCTGTGTGTGTGTGTCTGTGTGTGTGTGTCTGTGTGTGTGTGTGTGTCTGTGTGTGTACCATGATGCATGTGTGGAGGTCACAGGACAACTTACAGGAGTCGGTTTTCTCCTTCCACATGGGAAGTGGGGATTGAGCCAGATCAACAGACCCCTTTACTTGCTGACATCTCTCCAAACCTCAATTTCATGTTTCATAAAATAGATACGTGCACTGAAATAAAAACACCAACAGTGCAAAAGAGTTTATTATTAATAAACACTGCAGTCTGTGTTGCCATTTCTTATTCCCAATCTGAGTATGTTTGGCTTCTAATACCTACCATCGTAATTTTTTAGTGGACATGTGTTAATATTTTAACAGATTTGGTGAAATGTAATTCATAGATCATAACATTTACCTACTTAAGTGATTTTTAATACGGTAACAGAGTTCCGAAACCATCGTATTATCTAGTTCTAAATTAGATATTTTCATCACCCTAAAACGAAACCTTATACTTGTCGACACTGTGCCTATTCCATGCCTCTAGCACCTGGTAAGCAATGATCCCTTTTCTGTCTCTGCGGATTTGTCCATTGACATAAATAGAACCATACCCTACAAGGCTTGTTATATCTGGCTCCTTTTACTTGTTATAATCTTGCAGTATACATCATCACTAAATATTTGTGGGTAAGGTTTTGTTTCAAAACGTGTTTTTGGTTTTCTTGGATATATTCTTTTTTAAAAATATTTATTTATTTATTATGTATACAATATTCTGTCTGTATGTATGTCTGCAGGCCAGAGGAGGGCACCAGACCTCATTACAGATGGTTGTGAGCCACCATGTGGTTGCCGGGACTTGAACTCAGGACCTTTGGAAGAGCAGGTAATGCTCTTAACCACTGAGCCATCTCTCCAGCCCCTCCTGGATATATTCTTAGGATTTGAATTTTGAAACTCTATAATAAACCTGGTATAAATTTTGAAGACCTGCCAAAATGCCAAAATGTTTTCTAAAACAACTATGACACTAGACAGTCTTACCAGGACTGTATTAAGGTTCCAATTTCTTAATGTCTTTGCTGACACAAGTTTATTATAGCAATCTTTATTGATTAAAAAGTCGCAGCCTATAAAAAAAACTTTGATTTGAAATTCCTAGTGACTAACAATCTTCAGCTTTTTTTTTTCATTTTTTGACAATTTATATATCTCTTGAAGATAAAATAGATCCAATTATTCTGCTGGATTTTACTTGTTTTTTTTAGAGACAGAATCTTTCTTTATTTTTAATTTATTTATTATGTATATAGTGTTTTGGGCACCAGATCTCATTATAGATGGTGGCTCACAGCCATCTATAATGAGATCTGTTGCCCTCCTCTGGCGTGAGGGCATACATGGAGGCAGAATGTTGTATACATAATAAATAAATAAATCTTAAAAAAATAAAGAAAGAAAGGAAGGAAGGAAGGAAGAAAGAAAGAAAGAAAACTGGAAAGTATCTAAATCCCTAAGAGACCTTGGTACTCTTCTGGAGGACCCTGGTTCAATTTCCAGCATTTGCATGACAGCTCACAATTGTTTGTGAACCCAGTTCCAGGGAATCTAACACCCTCTTCTGGCCTCCATGGACACCAGGCATATATGTGAGGTACAGACATTCCGGCAGTCAAAACAACCATACACATATAAACGAATAGACGGACAGACAGATAGATAGATAAGGAGCTAACTGTAGTGACACTCTCCTTCAGTCCCAGTACTTGGGAGGCAGAAGTAGGAGGATCTCTGCAATTTCAAGACCAGCCTGTTCTACATAGAGAGTTCCAGGACAGCCAGGGCTATTACACAGAGAAACCCTGCCTCAAAAAAACCCAAAAAAGCCCGTTGTGGTGGCACACGCCCGTAGGATTTGCTGAAAGAGGCAGAGAAAGGAGGACCATAAGTTCAGGCCAGCCTGTGCTTCACATTAAGCTGGGCCATGGTGGCGCACACCTTTAATCCCAGCACTTGGGAGGCAGAGGAAGGTGGATCTCTGTGAGTTCAAGGCCAGCCTGATCTATAAGAGCTACTTCCAGGACAGGCTCCAAAAGCTACAGAGAAACCCTGTCTGGAAAAAACAAAACAAAAAACAAACAAACAAAAAAACCAAAAAAGGTTGACACCTGATATGTCATCCTCTGGTGTCTATACACATACATGCACATGTGTATATACACACACACACACACAGACACACACACAGACACACACACACACACACACACACACACAGAGAGAGAGAGAGAGAGAGAGAGAGAGAGAGAGAGAGAGAGAGAGAGAGAACAAGTTTATTTGGGGGCTTGTAGAGATGGATCCATGGTTAAGAGCACTTGGTGTTGTTGCACAGAACCCAACAGTGGTTGCTAGAACAGATATGGTGGCTCACAGCTGCCTTTAACTCCAACTCCAGGGAATCCGATACCCTCTTCCTCCTCAGCCACTACATGCTCATGATACATTTACATACATGTAGACAAAATACACTCAAAAAACAAAAAGTAAATGAATCTCTTTTTAAAAGTTTATTTGGGCATGTGGTTTCAGTGGTTTCATTCCATGGACACCGGACCCTGTTGCTGCCAAGCCTATGGCAGCCCAGTTCATTATAGGTCAAGTTTGTGGCACAGGAGTTGATCAATTCATAGTAAACACGAAACAAGCATTGAGGAAAGGGTTGGGATCTCACTGTCTTCTTCAAGAGCACTCTCTT